ATGATTAGCAAGCCTACCTCATCTTATGAATAAGAAATAGAACTGACCAACCGTTCTCAGTCTCGCCATTTTTTACCATGGAACATGAGCTGGATTAATACCACTCTAGGCACAAGAAGGTAATGAATGAGAGTATTAAATATATCAATTAATACCAAGAAATGTATTATTGGTGGGAAACCGGTTTCAATATATCCTTCCAATTCATGTATTTCTGACCGAAGTATGCATCTCGAAACCGCCAAAAAACTCCATCGTGCCTTATTGTGAAGATTTATTCACATTCTAATTTCAAACTTTCATATATTCTAATTCAACATGAATAACGGGTCTCACATGATCGGTTTATTCCCATCGAAGAATAACACCGCCCGGACACAAACAACACCCATCCTGCCAGGAAAAAAAAGAAAGAAAGAAAAAATCAAAAAAAAACCCGCCCGCCGAGAGGAGTGCCGGAGATAGTGAGATTATTGCTTCATGTATTATTTTAGAGAGTAGAATTCGATTCCCAAGATTTTTTATGTCCCTTTTTATTGGCAGGGACCTTCACACTCGAGCGCCTGGAGTCTCTCGTGCTGACGCTATTTCTTCTTGGCCGAACCGCATTCCTCCTCCTGGGCATCGGTTACGTCACGCTGCATGTCAAAGCTGCCGGCCAATTTCAGCTGTATTTGTGTCGTTGGGTGGAGCGGGTGGGGGGTGCCATGACCCACCTGCCAGAACGTGGGGGTGGCTGGCGATGCGCGTGGGGAGGGGGTGCGTGGTTGTCATATATAATCGACGTAATGCATGTGTGAGAGAATGAGAAGCAGAGAAGAGAGAGAGAGAGAGAGAGAGAGCGAGAGAGAGGAGAGAGAGAGAGACGAGATGAGAGAGAGAGAAGAGAGTAGTTGAGAGAGAGTGACATCGTGAGTGAGAGTAGAGCGATAGACGAGAGAGAGAGTTGAAAGTGAGAGAGTGAGTGAGCGGAAGTGAGGTAATGTTGAGAGAGAGACCAGAGAGAGAGTACAGACCAGGAGAGAGAAGAGAGAGATAGAGAGAGAGGATGTGGAGAAGAGAACGGAGAGAGAGAGAGAGAGAGAGAGAGAGAGAGAGGAGAGAGGAGAGAAGAGAGTGAGTGAGTGAGAGCGATAGAGAGAGAGAGAGTGAAAGTGAGAGAGTGAGTGAGTGAGTAAGTGAGAGGAGACAGAGAGGAGAGAGAGAGAGATAGAGAGAGAGAGAGAGAGAGAGAGAGAGAGAGAGAGAGAGAGAGAGAGAGAGAGAGAGAGAGAGAGAGAGAGAGCGACCAGACAAGCAGACCGAAAAGAACACAAAGAGAAGACGAGATTAGTCAGACCACACTAGACCAATCCAGACAAACAGAACAGGGAACAACGAAACCAAAAGAGCCAGACCAAACAGACCAGACAACGAGACAAGAGAGGCAGACCAAAAGAGCCAGACAAACGGACCCAGACGAAACCAAAAGAGGCAAACCCAAACACTACAGACCAGAGAACGAGACCAAGAGAGGCAGACCAGACAGAGCAGACCAAGAGAGGCAGACCAAACAGAACAGACCAGACAACGAAACCAAAAGAGCCAGACCAAACAGAACAGACAGAGACGAGACCAAGAGAGGCAGACCAGAAGAGCAGACCAAAAGAGCCAGACCAAACAGAGCAGACCAGAAACGAGAACCAAAGGAGCCAATCAAACAGAACAGACCAGAGAACGAGACCAGAGAGAGAGACAGACGGAGACCAAGAGAGGCAGACCAGAGAACGAGACCAAAGAGGCAGACCAGACGGAACGAGACCAAGAGACAGACCAGAAGACGAGACCAGAAGAGGAACACGGACCGGAACACGAGAAGCCAAGATCCCCTCTCCTTCAGGTCCGCGCCATCATGACCCTGACGACGCTCCTGGTCCTCTACACCCTCTTCAACCAGGTGTCGAGCGACCTCCCCGACACCGCCTACATCAAGATGATCGACATGTGGTTCTTCTTCTGCATCTTCCTCATCTTCAGCGTCATCGTCATCCACGCCGTCGTCGAGCACCTGCCGCAGACGGGGTCGAGGGAGGTCGCGGAAGCCAAGGCGGCGACTCCTGTCTTGGCCTTCGCGGAGGAGAAAGCCAGGCGGAAGACGCGGTAAGGTGGGAGAGGGGGGGGTGTTGGTGGGGGAGGAAGGAAGGAGAGAAAGAGAAAAAAATATTCTAAAACATTTTTATACGTGCATTTTAATCTTTCCTCTTATTTTACTTCCTATAAGACGAAGCTTCCAACGAAACCAAAACACCCCCCCCCAAAAAAAAAAAAAAAAGAAACAAATAAAAAATAATGATAAAAAAAACAAAAAACGCAAAAAATGAAACTTTTATAAGTTCTCATCATCACGTTCCAGGCTGACGGGGCCCTTTGTGATGAGGGTGATGAGCTTCTACGTGTATCCCTTCATCATCTGCGTCTTCAACCTGGCCTTCTGGCTCGCGGTCTTCAATCTCTAAAGGAGGAGAAGGAGAAGAGAGAAAGGGAAGAAAGAAGTGGAGGAGAGGGAGGAGAAGGAAGGGGAAGAAGGAGTAGGAGGACGTATGTATGTAATATATATATATATATATATATATATATATATATAATATATATTATATATATATATATATATATATATGTTAATATATATATATACATTATACATAGACACACACACACACACACACACACACACACACACACACACACACACACACACACACATATATATATATATATATATATATATATATATATATATATATAATATAAATATATATATATATATGTATTATATATATATATATATATATATATATATATACATACACACACACACACAAACACACATACATACATACATAACATACATTACATATATATATATATATATATACATATATATATATATATATATATATATATATATATATATATATATATATATATATATATATATACATGTACGTGCTCATAACGCATATATATACAAACACACACACACACACACACACACACACGCATTCATGTATATATAGGTATGCTACCATGCTAGCATGAATGATTTTATATCTAACAACTCGGTAGATTTGATAAAAATCGTATATATGATTATGAGAATACAAAAGAAGTCTAAAATTCTGCTGACATTATTAGTAGTGTCGTCTTAATGTCACTATTGATGATGTAATAGCAGTAATAACGATACAGCTGGTAATGGTAATTGCAGTTGTAAGTGGCTGTGGTGTATTAGTGGCTACAAGCATAACAGCTGCACATTTTTCGATGAATGGAGAGCTGTTGTTAAAATTGGTGTTAATTATAATTTTTGTCTGTGTTGTTCAGTACAATTATCCTTCATGATTTTGTTGCTCTAGCACCGTCATCAGTTTAAGTGTAGTATGTATATGTGTGTATATATATATAATAATATATATATATATATATATATATATATATTATATATATAATATATATATATATATACCTGTGTGTGTGTGTGCGCGCGCGTGCATGCGTGCGTGCATATATATACACATACATATACATACACACACACACACACACACACACACACATACTGTGTATGTGTATGTGTATTTATCTGTCACCATGGATAAATAAACAAATTTATGCTAAGGTTCTGTATATTTTCACTCTGTTATTTTTGCAGTAATAGTGATATGAAATAGCTCTTTGTTCGTACATATATCCGTTGAAAGACAGTGAGCAAAAATAAATAAAAAAAAAAAAGATCTGACAGTTTGTAATTACTCAATGTAAGGAGAAAACGTTATATGGCAATTAATTAGTTTTGGTTCCATCATGTTTCACATTAATCAGCAGATTTTAGAAAATTAAACTAATACAATATTCTGAATGAATAAGCATTTACTTATATAAACAAATCTGGTTTAGAAATAAATTGATACTCACAAGATGGCAAGAGAAAAAAAAATCCGACACAGTTTTGACAAAAGATTAACAATTAACCAAAATGTAAATAAATAAATTGTACACCTAATGAAGTTGAAACCAATCCATCACATTCAGAAAGCACGACAGTGACAATCATATAAGAAAAAAAAGAGATAATAATAAGAACTTTGGCACCAGTTCGTCAAGTTCAGGATCCGACACTGTTCGAGAGTTGTCCGCCAGATGAAGAGTTCTAGAGTTCGTTTCCGCTGACTATCATTATGTTGTTCTTGAAGTCGTCCTCGAGGTGTTCCAGCTTGAGGAGGTTGACGCAGGTGAGGAAGAAGGAGTTGCGGAAGCAGTTCGATCTGAGAAAGAGAGAAAGAAAAGTATTTACAAGGACGAATACACTGTAATGAACTGTTTAGAATTTCGTAATTCTGTAAAAGTGTTGGAGTACGAAAGAATTTTACGAGAACGATGTAAGTCAAGTATTTTGAATATACTGAACGAAAATATTGATACCGCCGTATCCCAACCCTCCTTGAGCACATTTTAAAAGATTTTCAGCATAAATAGCACCTCCTTAACAAGAGATGGTTCCTGAAGTGGATTATGTAAAAATGATTTTAAAAAAATTTGACTGATATATAGCTAAAAGACAGTTGTAATTGTTTCATACATGGCATTTTTGTTTTCAATTCCGGTTGAGAAATGACAATTTATAAGATTATTCTAAAACTTTAATACTTTTTTGTGCAACTTAACAGTTATTTACTTCCTTAGATTCCCATATGTATTGAATACAAAATAAAATATATAATTATCAAAAAATCATTCAGTACATGCTATGGCGCCTTTTTAACGACCAACCCCTACCTCCTCCTCCTCCTCTATCCCTATCCCCATTACCCATCCTCCCCCTCCCGCTCATACAACCTTTAACCTCCGTGACACTCACTTGCAGTCCGTCATGACCTGTGGCTGTCGGAACAGGTTGTGGCAGTCATCGCAGACGCGGCTGAGGGCGGTGTAGCGCTCCTTGTCGTAGTCGCCGCGGCACT